TGACTCCATATATTTTGCTGATTTGGGCTGGAGCTGAATTCCCCATACCCAGCCAGTTGATCCAGGGGCCTCCTTCCTCTTTGCCATTGACTCTTTATTGAAGATGTAATAAATTCGAATTTCAAGTCAGAGAAAGAAATTATACAATTGAGTGTGTATTTCGGGAGGGAGAGTGTTAGGGATACTATTTGGGAGCTTGTTCTTTACAAAAGCTCTGATGTGTCTTTTCAGTACAGTATTCAGATTAGATACCATGGAGATAAAGGTACCATGAAGAAAGGATCTAAAGGCAGTTGATACAGAGCCTGAGGAGAAAGAATTGGGATTTGAAGCTGGTTGACCCTTAAGTAATATAACAGCTTTAAAGTTGACTTATTACATGATGGGGAAATGTCTTCCATTATATGGTAATTCCCCAGTGGGATCTACAATGCTAGAAATAATTTATGGATCGCCTGGAGAACATTATGCTACGTGAAATAAGCCAGGCACAGAAAGACCAAGTCTGTGTTTCTTCTACTTGGAACCTAAAACAATCAAACTTATAGAAGCGGAGACAGAATGGTAGTCACTGGAGGCTAGAAGTCGGAGGAAATAGGGAGATATTGGGCAAAGGGTACAATGTTTAAGTTAGACAGAAGGAATAAATGATAAATACTTGAAGTATAAAATAATAATGGATCAGTTAAATTCAGCAGGCATTTATTGAACACTTGCAATAACCAAAGTATTTTGTTGGTTAAAATAAAAGAATTAGGCAAAGAAAGGTAACTAGTAACTAGAGGTCCACTTATGGTTTCACGGGTTTGCAGACTCCCTGAAATTAAGTGCAAGACTCTGTGTACTTGTCTGTGTGCACTTTTTCTTGGTCTTTAGTTTGCATCAGATGCCCAAAGTTTGTACCTGACCGAGAAAAGATTACAGACTAACGATCTAGTTGCTCCTAGAATTGGTATGCCATGGATAATTGACATGCCGTGGCCTGTGACTATGTGTAAGGATGCAAAGGGCAGCTTCCAATAATGTGTGCTGGTCATTCTATCCTCTGTAGGTCAGCTGCTGGCATTGGTGGTTTGGGTGTACATTTCTATATTTTCTGAATGTGGAAAGGTCAGGAAAATAGAGAACTGCCTTTGGAACAGGCTGTGCTTTGACTCTATTGACTTGGAGATAACCCTGGAAAGAAAAAAGCAACTATTGCGACTATTAGCCTGTGTAGGTAGTCAGCACATATTTGCTAATGAGATAAAAGAAGGCAGGAAGACAAGAGAAAGGAAGAGAGGGGCCTATGATGTGCCCCCAGCCTTGGCAAGATGTGCATAAGAACTGGAGAGCTTTGTCCTGTGTCCTCCAGGACCTTGGAGGGGTTTGATAAGCATTATAATAAAATATACTAATATAAACTATATTAATTGTTTACGACTTGACTTGGACAAATGTCCAAAACTGGTCAGTACAGCAGCTTAAGTTGAAAAAAGTGAAGATGAATCACTTCACACTGTTTTTTCCTTAAACATTTGTGTAGACTATAACTGCCTTGAAGAAAATGAAAGAAAAAAGCCACAGAATATTCTCCTTGTACCAGCTGGGGGCAATCCAGTACTACAAATGTGAGAGTGGAGAAAAAAGTGCACCAAAAGATAATTTCTTATGTTGCTGTTACTGCGTGAACTGGTGTCTTTTTTTCTCAGATTAATAGATTTCAGTCCTCTGAAAGCGATAGCAACAGAGGCATGCTGAGGTAGCCAGTGGAAAATGACATCTTTCCTTTGTTTTTGGTTTTGGTTTTTATTGTTGTTGTTTTGTTTTGTTTTGGTGTGGTTTGGTTTTGTATTAGAGATGGAGTCTCGCTCTGTCACCCAAGCTAGAGTGCAGTGGTGTGATCTCGGCTAACTGCAACCTCCGCCTCCCGGGTTCAAGGGATTCTCCTGCCTCAGCCTCCCGAGTAGCTGGGACTATAGGTGCCTGCCACCATCCCTGGCTAATTTTTGTATTTTTAGTAGAGACAGGGTTTCACCATGTTGGCCAGGTTGGTCTTGAACTCCTGACCTCAAGTGATCCACCCACTTCTGCCTCCCGAAGTGCTGGAATTACAGGCCTGAGCCACCATGCATGGCCTGACATTTTTCCTTTGTAATGGCAACTGCCCCTTACCAAATAATCCTTAGGTCAGGTGGAAAATAACTTCCAAAATCTTCCAGCTGTGGCAAGCAACTGGCTTAAGATTGCAAGTTGGGTGCTCTCCTGGCTAGGAGAGCCAGGTGCACCTGTTGCAAAAAGTCCTTGGTGATGCAAAATGTCCTCTGTTAAGCTCATATGTCTAGGGATAATCCCCAAGCAGTAGTCTACTTCTTGGAATGCCGTACAGATGCTCACAACATTATTCAGATTATGTGATTTATAGTCCTGCCCACATACTTCTAGCATTGCTCTGAGTAAAATAGTAAAGCGATATCTTTCATGTCCTAACAAAAAAACATTACTTGATATTGCAAGCTTCTATTTATTATCTTGTTTAGATTCTGTGCTAGGTTTCACAAAAGATGCAAAGCACTACTTAATGAGTTATCTTTATTTATAGAGTATATTCTTAGAGGGATATAATTGTATATACCTGAAATACATAATACAAGATTGTGCATAGTGAAATAAATTGTTGTAGATTAGAGGAGGGGAGACCCTGATAGGCTGCAGTTATCAGGAAGACTTTCATGGAAAACTGGTTTTGCACTCCTGGCTTATCCTGTCTTACATCATCTGAGTGTTGTACTATGCTGTTCTGGAACATCCACCGCATTTAATTATATCTGTTCTAGTCTTCCTCATGGACAAATAAAAGCCAAGCATCTAGGCCTAATATTTCTTCTAATAGGGGCTGTCTTTTTTACTCTTGTAGAAGATTATAAAATGGAGACTCCTTTTTTTGAAAGATTTACATGAAATTTGTATGCAAAACCAATCATTTCTTACTATTGTTGTACCTTGAGAGTTTTACTTTGTTGGCAGTAAAGAAAATTGTGATCTGCTGTTTTATTTCACCAGCGTTCTGGCTGCTTTTATTCCTGAGTTTCATTTTCACTTTGTCATTTACTCCATCCTATATAAATTTAATCATTGCATCTGTAGGTGTCTGAATGTCTGCTGGCTGAAACTTACAGAGCAGAATAAAAGTAATAACAGAGATACAATGGTGATTCCAAAAACTCCAGTTGATAAGATTAGAAAGTAATCTTCCTGAGAGATGAAAAGAAATGTGGGTTTAAACACAAACTTATATTTTTTGACAACTCAGTACAAGAACTATTTTAAACAAAATTCATATAAGATTTAGTATCCATTTTTTCTTGAAAACTGTTGATATCTCAATCAGATAATTTGACTGAGGTTTCTGCACAGATAAACAAGTCCCTTACATTTTCATTTAAATTTTTACTACTAGTGCATTTTGTTTACGAGTATGACTTTTATATTGAATGATTCTGATTCTGATAATATCCTGGTAGAGATGCTGGGTCAGTTGTTTGGCGGGTGTTTGGATAGTTTCATATACTTTTTCTATACAACTGAGACCAAGGTCTCAAATGGAGGATGACTAAGAGATGCCAACCTACTTTTTCAAAATCCTCCCACCCGACTTGACCTTCTCTCCTGGCTTCGTATCCCATTTCTCCTCTTCAGTCTTTCCTGATGACATACTGTGCTACTCACCTTTTCTGCTTCTTTTTCTTTGTTGTTGCTATTACTCAGGCCTGGAATATTCTTTAACCTCTTGAACATCTACCTACTGTTCATAACCTATCCATCTTTGCTTCAGGCACTGTTTTCTTTTTGGAGTCATTCATGATTCAAACTTCAGCATAGTATCTCTACCTTCTACAATCTCATACTATTTTGTCTCTACATTTTTTATGGCTGTTAAAATATTCTCTTTTATGGTAATTAATAGAAGGATCTCATGCCCTCTATATAAACTGTAAGCTCTGTAATGACAAAGACCAAATTAGATTATACCTAAAATGAAGGTGATCTTTCCTTTACTAACTTGAAGATTGTTTTACACTTAGTGGACACTAGATATTTGGGGGATGAAAGATGATGGGTAGGTATAGGTACAGTGGGTGGTTGGAGTGGTGCATAGATGTATGGTAAATGGGATGGTTGGTTAGATGGATGGATGGATGGATGGATGATCTAATTCTGAGCTTCAAATGACCATTTTGATTATGTGATTTTGTGGCACTTATTATTTCTCTTTTCAGCCCTATTGCTCACTACACCTTCACCTGAAGGTCTCCGAGAATCCCTACACGTCAGGGATCATTGCCAGCAAAGACACAGCTCCAAGCATCATAGTGGCATCAGGTAAGAAGCTTGCCTGGTTTGCTGGCTGTGGTAAATAGTGTTTATTTTAAGAAGCTAGATATCTGTACTTGGAACTTAATGAGCAAGCTAAAAATATTTTTGAAAGGCACCTAAGCCATTGGCCCTGAAGCAAGTCTGCAGAAAACTCCTGCACAGACAGAATGCTTGCAGTCAAAATCTTTCTCAGGCAATGCACCTGCCAATATAGTCCATTGTTGCTTTTGCAGAAAGTTCTTTTCACTAATGTCATCATTCTCTTTCTAGGTAATATAGGTTCTGAATTGTCAGACACTGACATCAGCATGTTTGTCTCTTCAGATGCAGGAAACACCTGGAGACAGGTAAGAAAATACCCTGGGTCAAATCACCAAAGTTTAAGTAACATAAAAATTGCCCAGCTTGGTTCAAATCTGGGAACTTTTTCAGCAGTGCTACACATAAATCCTAACGACTGTGAATATGTTTGTTTTTCCTTTTTTAATAAAAGTCTTAAATCTTGGAATTTAGCAAATATTTATAGAATTAGATTTTTTATCATTTAATAAAGATGTTCCTTATTCAGAGCTTGTATGTAAGGACATTTATAAGTCACAACGAAACCAAATTAAGTCTGACTAAATTTTTTCCTGTAGATGAAAACCAGAATACCTAAGGGTTTATCATATAGGGAATATGCAGCCTTAAGGGTAGATTACATATCTAATGCTGAGTTGGCTCCATAAATTCCCCTTGCCTTGAAGTCAGAATAGGAAGGAATGCAGATATAGAAATGGCCATTACCCAGGTGGTGTTCTGAGATGTTTAAATCTCATGTGCAAAAGACAGAGTAATAACCATCAGGATGCATATGTTAGAGAAAGTAGAAATGGAATACTTTAAACCAGTGTGTTTAGTTTAAGTGCTTCATGCCTTTCTTCTGAATGAAAATTAGGTACCCATAGCTTATAAAACAGGCATTTAATGAGGTTTAGCAATCTTAACAAGACATGCACCTAATACGTGGTGGTTATACCTCAATAAATATGTTTTAATAACCTACCGATGTTTAATTATCATACAATAACTAGCACTGTAAATTGAAATCTAATGCATAGGTAATCACACTTAGCAATGAGAGCACTCTGCTTTACATTTTAGATAGAGGTGTCCACATTATGTTCCAATTGCCATTTCTTAGCTTCAGACTCTTTATAGATCCTCAGTGGGATTCTGATATTTTGAGCGGAGGAGGAAGGGAAGAAATTTGCATAAGAAACCCCATAGCAATTGATCTTGGAGGTATGTAGAAACTTGGACTATCCTAAGTAAACTTCCTTTGGAGAACAGAGACCTAGGATCCCATTTTCTTCTTTCCAACACCCCAAACAAGGCAGAGAAGTCTTTACTTCTGTAGTCTTGGGGTGCATCTTGGGTATAAGAAATAAACAAATTGGAAGAAGAGTGTCTGTAATGTAACTCCAGGCAAGCCTATACTAATAATCTGAGAGAACAGTGTGCATCTTATACAGAAAGGATCTAGAGATTGTTTCCATTGTGTCTCCATTTGACTTCAAATTTGTTTCTCTACGTTTGGAGAAAGACCCAATGACACATGTACCCAAAGATGACAACAGAACTCACCATGATTTTGGTGGAACATCTATTAATTAAACAAGAACAGTTTTTGATAACAGTCGGAAACTTCAGAGTAATAAGATCTGGAAAGGGCACTGTAATGCAGCAAGTCCAAGTTCCGTCCATTACTGTATGCATGATCTCAGGCAAGTTACCACATCTCTCTAAACCTTAGATTCCTTATTTATGAACATGAGACTGTTGGAGTAAATTATTTCTAAGGTTCCCTCTGTCTAGAGATGTATAATATATGACAGTTAACCAATATTCTGACATCATCATAACTGGGAATCAATAGAAATTATCATGAAAATGAAGGAATCTAAGCATGAACCCATAAATATTCATTGTTCAAATTTATTTTATACACACCTAAAATTATTTTGTGTAACACCAATGGTACAGTAGCCTAGGTTGGGGAGAATTGTTCTATAACTTTATTTTCCCAAAGATTTAGGGAAACCTATTTATATCATGGGAAGGATTTTTGTTCTCATATGAAGACTTATTCTTTGAAGCTTGGGTATGTGTGGATGTGGATGTGTGTCCATGTATGTGTTTTCCTCATCCAGATCTTTGAAGAAGAGCACAGTGTTTTGTACCTGGATCAAGGTGGAGTACTGGTTGCTATGAAACACACATCTCTCCCAATTCGACATCTTTGGTAAGGGCACCTGCTGCCTGTGTGATCTGCACCTGATGGTCCTGCACTGCTAAGATCAGTCTAGGAGTCAGGCTATCGAACTGTGTCTGTTTTTGCAGTAAATCTGTTACCAAAATGCCGAGGTTTGGTTCAGGTCCTCTTACTCTCCACACAAAAGGCCCATCCACTGAGACAACAATGTTGCCAGGAAAGAAAACTTTAATTGGGTGCTGCAGCCAAGGATATGGGCAATCAGTCCCAAGTCCATCTGTCTGATGACTAAAATTAGGGGTTTATATAGAGGGAAGAAACGTAACCAGGTGTGGGAAAACAGGAATTAGGGAAGGATAAAGAAGAGGAGGTGGGGAAGAGGAAGTGGTCCACAGGAAGCAAGTTGGCAATTAGACAGTCATGATGGGTAAGTTGTCTGGCTTCTCATTGTCAGATGCCTTTGTCTGGTAAGTTTCAGCTCCTTGATACTACCTGGGAGGCCTGATGGTTGGTTTCCTGAGAAAAGAACTCAGATAAGACAAATGTAACTTTCTCAAGTTTTAAGATAGGGAGGATCAATTTCTATGTTTATTCAAAGAAACCGTAAACATCGGTTCTATAGGACAGTTGGGCCAGTTTCAGAATGTCAAGGTCTACTAGAGCAGTGGTGGTAGGAAAGAGAAAGAGACACAGACAGGGGGGGGGGGGGGGGGGGGGGGGGGGAGGAGAGAGAGAGAGAGAGAGAGAGAGTGAGTGTGTGAGAGTGTTTTACTCCCTGAGAGAGAAATTGCATTATACTTTGCAAATGTTATGATACTTTCACCCTCACTCCCTCACCAGTATATTGTTCTCTCAACAAGATTACAGGTAGAACAATGTTCATGATCAGGTATAGTCTCTGAATAGCTTGACTTCTTGCAGTCACCTTTCCCAAATAACATCTCCTAGAGTTTAATATCCATATCCATTTTTGCATTCCATACAGAGATGATCAACTCATCACAGTTCTGCTCCAGTCTCATTTCTCCTGATCTTGCTTTCTTGTTTTTCTTTTTTGAGGTGATATTCCACAATTCTGCCTGTGCATGTCCCACAGATGGATGTATAAGGACTAACTTCCAGAGGAGTTATCGATAGGCTCTTTCATCCGTGTTTTTGAAAGTGGTTCTCTCCATATATGAGTTTGTCCAAAATCAAAAGCCCAGTTTTCCTTCTACTGTTAGTTATTTTGATGACAGAAGGGAAAGCTGCAAAAGAGAAAAGAAAAACAGGCTAAGCTTGAGCAAGGGCATTCATAAAGAAACGCAGAGCAAAAGAAAGGGTCCTGGGTGACCATCTTAGTTCATTTGGGCTGCTATAACAAAATACCGTCAACTGGGTGGCTTGTAAACAACAGAAACTAATTTCTCGTAGTTCTGGAGGTTGAGATGTCCAGGATCAAAGTGCTGGCAGATTCAGTGTCTGATGAAGGCTCCACTTTTGGGTTTATAGATGGCACCATTTTGCTATGTCCTCACATGGTGGAAGGGCAAGGCAGTTCTCTGAGGCCTGTTTTATAAGATGACTAATTCCTTTCATGGGTGGTCCGCCCTTATGATTTAATCACCTCCTAAGGTTTCCACCTTCCAATATCATCACATTGGTGATTAGATGTTCAACATTTGAATTTTAGAGAGGACACAAGCATTTAGACCATTCCAGTGACCGTCAGGACTGAAGAATTATCTTCTCTTGCTTTCAAGAGCCTATCCTGTACTCATTCATTCAGTGAGGTCAACCAGGATTTATAGTTGTAAGAAGGACACACTGAGGACTTGGTCACTTAGAGATGAGTTGATTGAAATCTAAGTAAGTCTTACAAGGTCATCACTCTTCAGTATCACCTGTGAGACTTGTTAGACAGTAGAGAGGTTTTGGACAGGGTCAAGAGCTTGAGGTCTAAGAAATAAAAAAAATCCAAACTTTCAAAAATTTTATGAAACACTTATAGTTAATTCCCATTTAATGTAGCTGTTCCTTTATTGATGTTTTAATACATCTGTGTCCCCATGGCTTGGCTAACTGTATTTCTATTTTCCGATATAATTAAGAATACTTATTTATATGAAAGGCTCATTTTGACAATGTCTCAGCTACTTTTAAAATGTATTATCTGTGGGTTGAGAGTGTCTTCCCTTTGAAATGACTTTTTTTTTTTTTCCTTCGGAGATCTGATGACTGATATTTTTTATATCATTAGGTTGAGTTTTGATGAAGGGAGATCTTGGAGCAAATACAGTTTCACATCTATTCCACTTTTTGTGGATGGGGTTCTGGGTGAGCCTGGAGAAGAGACTCTCATCATGACGTAAGTTGAAACTATGATGTGGTCCAGCCTTCATAAAAAAGAGTAATCTACAAAAATGTTTTATAGCTAAGCCTGTTTGATTTGCAGCTGTTAGGTTAAGGTTGTTGCATCTTACTGCAAGAACGTACAGAAAATAGGGAAGAAAAATGTGGGCAGCTATTTTCTTGGTTCTTTGATAGTTTTTAGGAGACCCAGACTGAGGCGCTTAGAGAAATTAGAAGTGACAATTTCAATAGGAAATAAATCTGTACATTTAAAACTTTAATAATAAAGAACCTGCGTATGTAGAAAATCTCAGGCATATAGGAATGATTTTGCTTTAAGTCAGAACATAGAGTTTCATCAAAATCCCACAAAGCATTGTATTTTTCCCTGGCTCTTTACCTAACCCAATTGTGAGGCATATGAGGAAAACCGTGAGAACAGTCTGTTCTTGTGAAATTGCATTTATACTCATTTTTGTCTGGAATGTGATGATCATTAATTTGCGAAAGATTAATGACCCTGCCTATGAGCTTCAGTACATGGGCTTTGAATTTCAAGTATGAAACTGTAATAATTCATTCCTTTGGAAAATTGGACATGGAAAATAGGGATGGTTGTAAAGTAGTTGATCTGTCATCAATGAAAACTTTCAAGCCAAAGTCAATACTTGGTAAGCTTTCCAATTCTCTCCCCTACCACTACTCCTTTTTTTTTTTTTTTTTTTTTTTTTTTTTTTTTTTTGAGACAGAGTCGCACTTTATTGCCCAGGCTGGAGTGCAGTGTCATGATCTCAGCTCACTACAAGCTCCGCCTCCTGGGTTCACACCATTCTCCTGCCTCAGTCTTCCGAGTAGCTAGGATTACAGGCACCTACCACCATGCCCAGCTAATTTTTTTAATTTTTTTTTTTTAGAAGAGACAGGGTTTCACCGTGTTAGCCAGGATGGTCTTGATCTCCTGACCTCGTGATCCACCCGCCTTGGCCTCCCAAAGTGCTGGAATTACAGGCGTGAGCCACCACGCCCGGCCTACCACTACTACTTTTTAATGGCAGAAAACAATAATAAAAATCTAATATGACTAATAGCTACACTTTTCTTAATGAGAAACATAGCTAAATTAGCAATGCGTTCCATAATTTGTCTTTCTTCAATTTTTATATTTTCAAAACAGATTTTTAAAAATTGACCCAACAGGCCACTTCATGGCTTTTCTTCAAACCTCTGATTGGTAATTCAAACATCTCAGTAAATACTTAAGTCTCTCTGAGTAAAGAGAATAGAATGTGCAATGTAGGAAACCATTATTAGTACTTGGCTCTGCTGATCACTTTCGCTAGGGGCTGGTGGGAAGGTAAAATAGCATGGAAACCATGGGAACTATGTACATGAGCGAGATAACCTAGAAGTCTAATCTTGGACCACATAGAATACAGAATTTATGATTGTTTTTCTCAACCATATTTTCCCAACCAATCTTGTGGCACAATATGTACAAGTGGGCTCTTGAATTAAACACCCTGGGTCTGGTTCTACCTGTTATTATGACATGATTTTGTTTTTTGCAATGTTAACAAAACTCATTGAACCTCATGTTATCTATCTGTGAAGTGGATCCAGTAATAGTACCCTCCTCGTCCAGGTGCAGTAGCTCACACCTGTAATCCCAGCACTTTGGGAGACCAGGGCGGGCAGATCACGAGGTCAGGAGATCGAGACCATCCTGGCCAACATGGTGGAACCCCATCTCTACTAAAAATAAAAAAAAATTAGCTGGGTGTAGTGGTGCATGCCTCTAATCCCAGCTACTCGGGAGGCTGAGGCAGGAGAATCACTTGAACCAGGGAGTTGGAGATTGTAGTGAGCCGAGATTGCACCACTGCCCTGCAGCATGGTGACAGAGCAAGACTCTGTCTAATAAATAAATAAATAAATAAATAAATAAATAAATAAATAAATAAATAAAATAAAAAGTACCCTCTTCATGAATGTGTTTTGAGGATTAAATGATGTGATTCATGTAATGTGCTTAGCTCAGGGTGAACACTCCACAAATGCTCTCTGTAGTTATTACTCATGGCATTATTATCATTGTGATTATTTTTATCACCATGAACTCTGTAGAGTGTTTGGACACTTCAGCCACCGCTCTGAATGGCAGCTGGTCAAAGTAGACTACAAGTCCATTTTTGATAGACGGTGTGCCGAAGAGGACTACAGACCCTGGCAGCTGCACAGCCAGGTAGGAGGAAAAGAACTGAGACTAAGGCCTGGGCAGGAAGCATGAGTGGTGTTGGGGGAAAGCTGGTTGCTAAGGTATAGGAACTAGGATGATCTAGGCCAAAATGTCCATCCACTGTTTACTTACACATTTTGTGTTCCACAGCAGTGAACAAGCTCACCATTTATAGCTTGTTGTGAAGTCATTTCTGTTTTTATTGTGCTAAAATATAATGAGATAAAATTCCAATGTGCTTGGCTTAGACTTACAGCTCAAAATGAAATACCAATTCAGCACTGAGATCCAAACATAATTCATCTAAGAATGTCATATGGTTGCATGGTGGGGGAGGGGATGAGGACGAGATCTTCAGTTTTATCTAGCAGTGCAAACAGAGACATAAAATAACAAAATTATGCTGGGTGAGTGTTGCCAGAGAAATCCTTCTTCCCATTTGCCTTGATTCCTTGGAACTATATAGTACTTTTTGCCTCCTTGCCAGGTACTCCTGGTATGAGAATGCAGAATTATTAATAGGCAACTTTCATTTGTCCTGGCCTCTCACCTATTCAGCTTATATCAAAATGCTTGGATGGAAGTGTCTCTCCCTTGATTTCCCAAGGTACAAGTCGTTCCACAGATCTCTCAAAGGATATGGTAGAAGTACCTGCTGCAAAGCCATCACCATATTCAGGCAGAAAAACGTCATATACCTCAAACCTAGACTAAGTAATATGTTTAAATGTAGATGTGTAATGAAGCCAGTTAAAGTGAGTTTGCTCAAGAAAGACGGTGTTCAGTAGATTAAGCAAAATTCTACTCTGATTTTTCAGAAACACAAGAGGAGGAGTGTGTCTGATAGTGGGCCCTGCGTTATCTGGAAACACCCACCCTATTCAGAGGCTAAACAATAAAATCGCTCATTTACATTGCTGATATTTTCTCCTTTGGGATGCACAATCATTGTGATATTCAAAGCTTTTATTTATTTTGTGGGAAAACACTGAATTTAGCTCTCTCGCTTGTCTGGTAGAGGAGCATTAAAATCTGTGCTATAAAGTTGTGTGGGCAGAGGCATAATAAATCGAGGCAAAATGGATCTTTATATTTCTTAGCAATGCTCCTCTTTCATGCTCTCATAAATGACCAACTGTGTAAATCTTTTATTATAGGGGAATTGAACTTAATTACTACAGATTTGTTGTCAATGCACTAGGTGCAGACTGAGTCTTACTTAACTGTGTATCCTTCATAGCACTGCACCCAACACTTTGCCAAATAAAGGTTTGGTAAGTGCACACAAAATTAAGGATGTTATTTAATAATCCTCAGTGATTGTTAGGATTGCCTTTATAGTCAGGTTGTATAAGAGGGCTCTAGACCGCAAAAGGAAAATGTTGTTAGCACAAAGAGGGCTACCAAAGTTCACATTACACTAAGATTTGCAAATGTCTCCCTAAACGTCACTCATTTGGAGCAGGGAAAGTCCAAACTATGTGCCCAAGTATTTGTGATCCTCCTCTGCTTACAGGGGGAAGCGTGTATCATGGGAGCAAAAAGGATATATAAGAAGCGAAAATCAGAGCGGAAGTGTATGCAAGGAAAATATGCAGGAGCTATGGAATCTGAACCCTGTGTCTGCACTGAGGCTGATTTTGATTGGTGAGCTTGTGCAATTATCTCCTGGAGCCATTCGGTGTATCAAATCCACATGGGCCTGAATGAAACCTTAGAATTGAAATAATAGTAACATACATAGGGCTAAGTGGCAAGCTTCATATTCTTATAAAATTACCTCATAGTTTACTAGCTATGTACATGTGTATGTGGGATAATCAAGAGTTTCTTTAGACCGAAAGAGGACTCAGAAGATGGCTGGTAATTATCTTCATATAATTGCTAGATTCCTAGGACCAAAGGAGAGCAGATTTGGCCGGGCGTGATGGCTCATGCCTATAATCCCAGCACTTCGGGAGGCTGAGGGGGGTGGATCACTTGAGGTCAGGAGTTGGAGACCAGCCTGGGTAAAACCCCATCCCTACTAAAAATACAAAAATTAGCTGAGCATGGTGGCAGGCACCTGTAATCCCAACTACTCAGGAGGCTAAGGCAGGAGAATCGCTTGAACCCGGGAGGTAGAGGTTGTAGTGAGCCAAGATTGCGCCACTGCACTCCAACATGGGTGTCAGAGGGAGACTATCTCTTAAAAAAAAAAAAAAAGGCAGATTCTTTCTGTGCTGCTTCAAACAGCAACACTGGAAACAGTAAGAAACAGTAAGTGTATTTTTTAGGGAGCAAACAAAACAAACATATTTGTGTTCTAGATGAAAGCTTTCTAGAATCTAGGATTGCCTGTAGTGGAATAATAGTCTTTTAGGGCAGTAAATTTTCTGTCCCTGCAAGTTTTCAAGTCGTCGTTAGCTGACCACAGCTTATGAGATTCATGGAAGACATTCTCGGACTCAGAGCAAGGATGGATTCAATGGCATTGCAAATCTGTAACTCAGTGAACCTAGCGATAAAGGAGACTTCTTGCTTTACCAGGATTAAGCTAATTTAAACTGGAGAAGTACTGAGACATTTAGAGATTAAACTCTAAATGTGCCATAGAGTGCCGTAGAGCCTTCTTGAGACATTTACTCAGCAGAAAACTAGCTTGTGGGCACAGTGAAGCCCTTGGCTTGTTGTCAGTGTTAATTGTTCAGGTAAGGCTTACACATTATTGAGGACAAGTAGGTGGTAACTCCCTTGGTATTTTCCATCTCATTTTCCATTGTTTTCTTCCCTCTTCTTTTTGCTTTTCCTTTATTTGTTTGTTTTTAATTTAGAGAACACAATCACTAAATGTATACATATGTGTTACCAAACTTGACCGACATAAGAACTAAAGTCATTTTTTAACAATTTATTTCTAGCTGTATTGCAATCTCAGGTTACATACTGAATCATTAAAATATAAGTGATTGGACTGAGATACTGTGTACATACGCATCACATATCTTAGAAAAATTAAACCTTCTCTTGTGATAGACATCTGGAGATATTCTAGCACTAAGAAGGTCTGACAAGAGTGGCAGCCAGCAGTCAGACCAGTAACCCACAGCTGTACCCCTTGTTGGTGAGGACGCCAAGCCAAGAGCCAATGAAATATCTCTCTGGGCTCAGCCAGAGGGCAACAGAGTTTCAGTTACATTGAAGCTCCAAATGAAATCTTCAGGGGCCTCCCCAGTTGTGACTTCTGTTTTAGTTAGAGCAGTATTATTACAATGACAAAAATATTTTATCTTTGTACTACCCTTCAGGACTCACACCCTGAAATGCATTCACAGGGAAAACTACCATGAGATTTTTAAGTCATTTGTCGCATCCCTCTTTCTGAAGCAACTGCTTCTTCTTCTTCTATCCTGTTCAAGGAAGATTTGCAAAGGAAGTTAGCATCTTACATTAGTGGTTTAGCTTTTGCCTTAAGAAACAGCCATTCTTTAGCAGGAGGCAAATTTATTCTCTGGACCCAGCCATCCCATTACTGGGCATATACCCAAAGGATTATAAATCATGCTGCTATAAAGACACATGCACACGTATGTTTATTGCGGCACTATTCACAATAGCAAAGACATGGAATCAACCCAAATCTCCATCAGTGACAGACTGGATTAAGAAAATGTGGCACATATACACCATGGAATACTATGCAGCCATAAAAAAGGATGAGTTTGTGTCCTTTGTAGGGACATGGATGCAGCTGGAAACCATCATTCTTAGCAAACTATCGCAAGAACAGAAAACCAAACACCGCATGTTCTCACTCATAGGTGGGAACTGAACAATGAGATCACTTGGACTCGGGAAGGGGAACATCACACATCGGGGCCTATCATGGGGAGGGGGGAAGGGGGAGGGATTGCATTGGGAGTTATACCTGATGTAAATGACGAGTTGATGGGTGCTGACGAGTTGATGGGTGCAGCACACCAACATGGCACAAGTATACATATGTAACAAACCTGCACGTTATGCACATGTACCCTAGAACTTAAAGTATAATAATAATAATAAATAAATAAATAAATAAAAAAGAAAACCAAAGAGAAAAAAAAATGAGATGAGATGTCCCAATGTCCTGATTTCTCCTCAAAACATTTGCTTCTCTGGGAATCTTTTCTACAGGCTTCAAAGGAAGCCAGTCTTTTGTTGTTGTTGTTGTTTTTCTTTTTCAATTGTAAGCTAGTCCAGACTGAAAGGAATACCAGATAAGGAAAGCAATTAGATTTCTCCTCTCCCACATCCCTTGTGCCCCTCAGTCTTGGCCCAATCCCTGCATTCGTTTGTGATTAGATCGGCTACTCATCCCACCAGCTGAAATGCATTCTGAGAAGTGGGAAATTAATCATGAAGGAGGCCATTGTAAGGTTTTCTGATCCAGTGGGATTTCTGTAACTGCATGATTTCTGAAAATATTTGGGAAGGCTCATCACGACCTTGTTGGGTTTCTACCAGCAGCTGGAGTTTCAGTGATTACACCTGGCTGTAGTGTAATGAAAGGTGATTGTCCCTGAATGTTTCTCTTTGGTTTGGCTTTCTCCTGGACAGTTCCCCAAATGACCTTGCCTGTCCCTCTCCAGCATTTGTAAAGTAACTCCCCAAAGTGAACACTGGTTGTCCTATAGGCAGCAATTCTGAAGTCTTCCTACCCGTGCTGCATTGAACCAGCACCAAATCCTGCTGGTATGTGCAAAATTCTAAGTACCAGCTGCCTGGTGACAGGCCTCTGAGCTGAGTCTATTTCTCCCTTCCTGACCCTTGTGTGCCAGCATCTCACCTCCATTACACAGATGGGCCAGTTCATACTAATGCTTGCCGATTGCTGCCTGCGATTTGTCTGTGCATGTGGAGGTGCAATTTGTTGTCATTCTCTGTGCCCAGGTTCATTTGCCAGAAGCCAAGAATATCAGGCAACTCAGAGGCCTCTGGAAGCATGCATGAAAGGAGGCTGAGAGGGGAGTCTTTGACTATTTCCAAAGTAGAGAGAGGATTTAAAGCAGTTAGTTCCAACTGGCAGTGCTAACTGCCTAGTATGAAACATTTCCTTAGGGGAAATGCTCGAGACACTCCTGAAGGACATTTCCTTTTTGGCTGTAACTTTGAAGCATATGGAGTGTACACAGAGAGACCTGGCTCAGCTCTACTTGGTAGATCCAGATGTCTTGGAAGAGCATCCCAAAGACATCACCAGTAATGAGGACTGTGCCACATGTGACCATGTTAAACTCTGCAATGAATTTCTCACCAAGGGTTGAGCCCCACCACTGCCTGTTTTCTCATTACAGCTTTCTCTGGGTCCAGCCATCTGTATTGTGTATCCTTCTAATGAGAACACAATCTACTCGCTCAGCTTAAGAGTATTTAAATGGAATGACCAGTTATATAGGATATTTTCCTGAATAATTGATAGATAGTCTGTGAAAAAAGTTCTATTTTTGAGAAGTCATTGATTCAGGGAATGCTTGTGTGTGTGTGTGTGTGTGTGTGTGTGTGTGTGTATGTGTGTTTTGTCTTGTTTTTGTTTGTTTTGACTAATTGATTAGTGTAGCACTTGGCTGTGGACTGACATGGAATTGTTTTCAGTAATTTTGCCACCTACTGAAAGGTTTTTCTCGGCTCTTTCCTAACAGCGACTATGGTTATGAGCGACACAGCAATGGCCAGTGCCTGCCGGCATTTTGGTTCAATCCATCCTCTCTGTCAAAAGATTGCAGCTTGGGACAGAGTTACCTCAATAGTACTGGGTAAGTATCTGGAGTAGTGACCTTGAGAGGCCAACCTTTGCTGCCTTTCAGCATGTGTTATACTGACAGAATTACTTCTGATCAAAGACCAGGCATATTTCCTTACAGCACGATGTAATTGCTTTTGTTCATTTTAGCAATGAAGCACAACTTTGCACTAATAGTGCAAGTTTCATGTGAGAATAAGATCCCAATTGCAAATTTAAAAAAGAGAAATGTTTATTGGATGAAGATCACGATGACAATATTGAAATAAAAATGTCTTCATTTTCTCGATACTTTGTTTTCAAGTTATTTAATCCTGTGAAGTTACCCTTTACCCTTATTATATCCATGATGAGGAAGGCCAAATAGATATTTCATATTTGCATTTCCTGTTTTATAGATGTGGAACCTGGAATCACAAAAGGAACTCATTGACTTTTCAAAAGTATAGTAGTGCTAATACGAATGTATCTTGCTTTCTCTTTATGTTCAGTCTTGACACATTTAAACATGCATTTTGACCTTTGTAAATCCGGAATCACATTCTAAAATTTGGTGTTTAATATTCTGTGTCATGGGGTTTATGCAGGATTATTTAAGAAATACTATAAAAAGGAAAAAAAATTCGTAAATTTGTCTCAAATGTAGTTGGTATTTATAAACTTTAAAATAGTGTATGGAACCTATTTAAATTCTGATTCAAATAAATGATCTGTAAAAAGACACATTTGAGCCTCGAGGAAAATTGAACATACACTAATTCGGGTAATGTATTAGTTAGGGCTTCCCAGAGAAACAAAACCAGTAGGATGTATATTTATTTAGAAAGATATTTATTGGCCAGGCGTGGTGGCTCACGCCTGTAGTCCCAGCACTGCACTTTGGGAGGCTGAGGCGGGCAGATCACTTGAGGTCAGGAATTTGAGACCAGCCTGGCCAAGATGGTGAAACCCCATCTCTACTAAAAATACAAAAAAAAAAACAAAATTAGCCACACATGGTGGTGTGCGCCTGTAGTCCTAGACACTCAGGAGGCTGAGGCAGGAGAATCACTTGCACCCAGGAGGCAGAGGTTGCAGTGAGCCGGAATTGCACCACTGCACTCCAGCCTGGGTGACCGAGTAAGACTCCATTTCAAAAAAAAAAAGAGAGAGATTTATTGTAAGGAATTGGCTCATTTGATTATGGAGGTAGGTGGGTCCCAATATCTGCAGGGTAAGTCAGCAAGCTGGAGACCCAGGAGAGCTGACAGTGTAGTTCTAGTTCAAGTCTGAAGGCCTGAAATCAAAGAGCCAATGTTGTAGTTCTAGTCCAAAGGCCAGCAGACCAAGACCCAGAAGAGCCTGTCTTTCAGTTCAAGACCGAAGGCAGGAAAAGAAGCCAGTGTTCCAATTTGAATGCCATCAGGGGGAAGGAATTCTCTCTTACTTTGGGAACTGTCAGCCGGTTGAATTTAAGCCTTCAGCTGATTGGACGAGGCCCACCCTCACTAGAGAAGTCAATCTGCTTTACTCAGTCTACTGACTTAAATGTTAATCTCATTTAAAAACACACAGAAGTGTAACATTTGACCAAATATCTGGGCATACTATGGCCCAGTCAAGTTGACATATTAAGTTAACCATCATAAGTGATATTAAAGAATTATATATTTAGGCATGATAAAGACATTTTGGCTAGACTAAGAAAACAGCCTTGGTTTTAGAGATACATATTTGTGTGAGTTTTGTTTTAAAGTGTTAAAAAACAGGTAAGCACTGATAATTTTTTGGAGATGGGTAATGAGCATATGGGAATTGATTACATTACTTTTCTTCATACATATTTGAAAATTCTGATAATAAAAAGTTAGAAAGAAGCCGGTGTGGTAGTATGTGCCTGTAGTCCCTGCTACTCAGGAGGCTGAAGTGGAAGGATTGTTTGAGTCCGGGAGTTCAAGAAAACCCTGGATAACATAGGGAAACCCCCATCTCTACAAAACAAAAAAGAATAAGAAAAAAAGAAAAAAAAAAGAGAAAGAGAGAGAGAAAGGGAAGGAAGAAGGAGAAAGGAGAAATAAGGAGGTAGGAGCCTTACCAATCCGCCATTTCTACTTGATAAAGCCCCTTCTCCTTTCTCAAGCCAGCCACAGTACAGAGAATCCACTTGAGGAGGTGAGACTTCCATTTATGTACTCTGTATTTGAAATGTTAAATATGTTTTTTTTTTTTTTAAGATTATCAAAATAATAGATACTATTCTTTTCAAGGAGGGAAAGGCATAGAAAAGGACTGCAATGATTCCTATTTCTGATGTTAGGGATTCCTAGAACCTTTGAATAAAGGAATAAGCTATGATTTTTTTGAATGATAACACAACATCCAAGGAAATACAAGTAACATTTTTATAGCAATGGGTCAGTGAGGTCTTAGCATGGTACCATGGGGGAAAAAAATGAAAAGGTTGATAAAATAACTAAACTTAATGGGGAAGGAATGCAAAAGACAGGAGTTTTATTACTTGCAGGTACTAGCATGTTTAGACACTGTAAAGGGCATTGGAAGCCCCTCAAGCTAATTTAAGAATTGTTTTTTTGTTTTTTTTTTTTTATAACCAGCTCAATCAGTCAAGGAAGTTACATTAGTCTGTCTTTGGTATTGATGATAGGAGGCTGAAACACAGAGGGATCAAATTGTTCCAGATGCTACTCAATTATAGACCAAGGCTGAATGACACCTGTGACCCCTCACTCTTCAGTTCATTGAGATTTTTTTTTTTTTTTTTTTTGAGACGGAGTCTCGCTCTGTCGCCCAGGCTGGAGTGCAGTGGCGTGATCTCAGCTCGCTACAACCTCTGCCTTCTGGGTTCACGCCATTCTCCTGCCCCAGCCTCCAGAGTAGTTGGGACTACAGGTGCCCGCCACCATGCCCGGCTAATTTCTTGTATTTTTAGTAGAGACGGGGTTTCACCATGTTAGCCAGGTGATCTCCTAACCTCGTGATCCACCCACCTTGGCCTCCCAAAGTGCTGGGATTATAAGCGTGAGCCACTGCACTTGGCCCATTGAGATCTTATAAATCCTGACTAACATCAAATAAAACATCAGTGATGATTAAGTAATTTTATATTCAAAAGGAATACCATCTATGCCACATAAAATTAAAATTATAATGTCAATTAAAATGTGACTTAGCAATAAGCGTCCAGGTATATAAATGTTGGTCAATGCAGTTGTTATGTTTAGTAGTCACAAAATTACAACTCTACCTTCTAGGACTCCACCTTCGCTCTCAGGGGCTTGTTCATTTCAGTGGGTATTACACGATAGCATCTGACCCCAAATGATTTTTGTTAAGTTGCCACATCCACCAGTTTTGCATGTTCCAGTTAAACATTTTGCAGAAAAGCATCAGCATTGGTGAGCAAGCTGGTTTGTAAAGAGAACATATGATAAATACCAGCCATCAGCAGGTATGGTAAATGTTCTGCTCTCATAAGTAAGATGCTCATAGGTGGAGGAGTGAATATGCAAATAGGGCCTTACACACTAAAGTCAAGGGAATGGTTGTTAATAATAACCCCACTGATCAGCATGTTGTCTCAACTACACATTTTGCATTAGGAACACGAAGACCCTTAGCTGGGACAGAGGCCTGAAATCATCTACAAAGAAGGCCTCACACCACTGAATTCCCATTTGCATTGTCTGTAGCCAACTCAAGAGTTGGTAAGAGGTAAAATGTCGGTGAACTTGGAAAAAAACTTTCTGTCTCCCTTAATGTTACTCCAGCCCCTCTCCACAGATGTCATTTGGCTATGTGTTGATTCAGTGGTATTTTATAAGCAGATTCAGTATATAATGTTGTAGCCACTAATAATGCTGCCACTATACATTTAGATTTTTACTTACAAATATTTAGTCACAAAATAAATGTGTATGTTTTATATGTTTAAAAGCCAATTTACATCATCACCCCAATCCTGGCCCCCTTTCCCCTCACAACTGTGATCTGTTTGATATGCATGCTTCTAAAACTTTTCTTTGCATTTGCTAGCAAATACTGGTCCCAAGAGAAAATACACAAATTAATTTGGGAGGTTGTTTTTATATGTGATTTCCTACTAGATACATTGTTCTTCTGTTTTCCTTTTTCATTCAAAAATATGACTTAAAAATCTTTCTAAGTCAGAATATATAAGGATACTTTCTCATTTATTTAATTCCATGGTATTAAGTATTATTATAGTATTATCAGTCATCCTTCTTCCATGGACATTTGGGTTATTTTGCTTTTTCTGCCACTATAAATAATGCTGCAGTTAATATTCTCATCCTTTAATACTTGTTATACAGATAATACAAAGAGAATTAAGTCTCTTTTGGCAATTGGAGGTGTTTCTGTTAGCTCATAATGCAAATTCCACTCAGCCAACTGGTTCTGTCTCAGACCTGAGTATCAGGCATTGCCACATTTCTCCCTTGTAAGGGTTAAAACACTAGCTTCCTGCTCACGGACTGCCTGTGAGTCCCACGTATTGGAGATTCATTTGTATTAAGTGCCATCCTCCTTTAAAATTCAGATGCCAGTGGATTCTGTAAAGGAAAGCTGAGGGGAAGGAGAAGTAGGATTTAGCTAAATTAATAAGGTGAAGAAGGTCATTTCATGTAAAGAGAACAAGAGATGATCCTGGGGAAGGGCCACAGTGGTAGTTTTCTCAAGGACAAGCCCAGATGCCAATGCCTGTGTGCTTAAAGAGTTAAACAGCCACTGGGAACCCTGTGTCCAGTGCCATTTTAAGCCATCCGTGGTCACCTCATGCTCAGTCAATGCAGAATCTGTATTAGCCTCAGGGCTGGGATGAAGCACAAAGGAATCCCAAGTGTAGGGTTGGCCAGAGAGTGAGTGCCTCCATAAATGTTGCTCCCTGGGCACCTCACTTGTCTCACCCTTTTCTTACAGCATAGCTCATGGTACAGACATGCAGTGGGAAAGTGAATTGAGTGGGGTGAATGACAAAACCTCCCAGCATCACCT